ATCATTTGGGTGAAATATGTGCGGGGGAAATTTAAATTCATTATAGATGTATTTAAATATTCCGAGTGTGATTTTCAGGCACGTTAATGTGACTTGCTGTCTGCATATATATATATATATATATATATATATATATATATATATATATATATATATATATATATATATATATATATATGTGTGTGTGTGTGTGTGTGTGTGTGTGTGTGTGTGTGTGTGTGTGTGTGTGTGTGTGTGTGTGTGTGTGTGTGCGTATTCACCTAGTTGTGCTTTCGGAGGTTGAGCTTCGGCTCTTTGGTCCCGCCTCAAGGGTCGAACATGTGTGTACTCACCTAGTTGTGTCTGCAGGATCGAGCATTGACTCTTGGATCCCGCCATTGTGCGTGTGTGCGTGCGTGTGTGCGTGTGTGCGTGCGTGTGTGCGTGTGTGCGTGCGTGTGTGCGTGTAGATGTTCAGAAACAGATGATACAAACTGTAATAATAACGCGCCTGAATCGTTTGATAATTACAAGCAACTGATAATCGCTTCAGTTGTCCAATCGCTTTAAGAATAAGTCGCTTAAGAATAAGGTCATACTACTCAGTACACGGGTTCACACCTCACAAAGAATGGGTGAAGAGGGGAATGAGGGAGAATAATAATAAAAATAAATAATAATCATACTAATAATCGTAATAATATTGGCACTGGCGAGAAGAAACAGTTTAGGGAATCACAGTTGGGGTGCTGTAACGACCCTTAACTCTGTAAGACGCTAGATCCACGCTGTCAATCACGTATCGCTCGGGGGAAGGAGGGGGGGGGGGAAGGAGGAGGGGTTGTACTCGTCTGGAATATCAATTAACAAGATTTGAATAGTGAATATATTTACGCGTGTAGCATACCTTTTTCTCACGAGATTTCTCAAAATATCTCCACTCCGGGCAGTGTTTAAATTGCCTTGCATAGTTCCTTTTTTTTTTTTACCTAATTTACCAAATGTAAAATATCATTAAATATAATCTATCATAAGCATAATTTGCACTATCTATCGACTACTTTTGACACTTCATGACAACATGCATCAGAAAAATACGCTTCTCTGTTAACACAAATATATATAACACATATATTTATATTATTTTTTTCATCACAGTCAGGAGGCATCACGCCGCAGATGCCTTACGTTCCTCACTCTACAATGACACAGATCGACGCGACCTTGGCGATATGATATCAGCGTTATCCTTGACACCTCTGCTAATGGGAGAAACTTAAATCATCCATCTAGGCCAGTCTTATTTACCCCTCCACTTCATCACGACACTACCTGCGAATGCTGACCGTCGTTCCACAGGCGGAGGGGCTCAGATCCCAGCAGTAACGACACGGCTTCCGATTCGGACATAGGCGACAGGTACGAGAACGTCTCCAGATTGTCTTGGAAGACTGCGGTTTCAGAGGAAGCGCACAGGAACGACACCAGATCAGACTCTTGAGGTGGGTGCATCGCGGGCTGCTGCTGTTGCTGCATCTTGATAGGATTGTTGGTTTGCAAATGGGGCTGATATTCCTGGAATGTGATGTCGGACTGAGGTTCTCCAGGGCTGGTCGAGGCCTCTTCCAGGATGCTGGAAAGCACCCAGGAGCAGGTGTCCTGGTGGGCGTTACCATCCAGTATATCCTGGAGGGATCGGATATAAGCCGAGGCAAGTCTCAGGGTGGTAATCTTGGTCATATCCGAGGCGGGGCGGCGACTACACACCCAGGATGGCAGGACGCCCCGCAAGCTCTCAAAGGCCGTGTTGATCTGCCGCATGCGGTACCTCTCCCGGGCATTGGCCGTCTTCCTGCGGTACCTGGAGAGCGGCGGAGGCCGCGGCTTGTGTCTCAACGAGTCCTGGAGACTCCACTCGCTGTCAGAGCGACGCCGGGCCTGCAGGGAACGAGGCCGCAGCTGGTACTTCCCTCCGGACGAGTTTCCACCACTCGTAATGTTACTGGAACTATCGTTTGGGCTTTTATTTTCACTATTGTTATTATCGTCCACGGTGTTTCTTCCGCCTACCTGAGGTGACACCTCGTTTTCCGATTTGGCCATTATTGACACGTATAGGTTCACTGTATATCCGAGCTCCCTCTGTGCCCCACACACACACACACACACACACACTTGTTTTAGATAGCTTGTTCCAGCATCACTGAATTCTGTATATTCGCTGTATCACTGGCTAACGTTCCCACTAGCGGCTTTTTAACCTCGAGGACATCTGTAAGATACAACGAGAAACGGATTAATTACAGCAAAAAATTTCCTCATATAGTCGGTACAAGAAACACTGAGATATGATGACACTGTAACAACAACAACTGTTATATGACACTGTAACAACATCTTCAAGACAAAACAAAACGGGGAAAATTTTTGTCCTGTCACTCGAGTTTTCTCACCTGGTAAGGGAGTGACGGGAGAGACGGTGTACCTCACGTGTTACCTGCACGACGTGCCGAGGCCAACTGAGTGCTCCCTCCACTCCTTGGCTCTCTCACCCTCCCCCCTGGACCCTCCAACACTCCCTCCCAGTACACCACCCTCCCCAACCACCTCCCCCAATCTCCATATATGGCTCACCATTTGTCACTTTTCAGAGATGAATTTCAATACATCTCGGTGAATTTGAGGCGTTTCGGGTCATTCAAGAGCTGCCCGACCCGGCTGTGGCGAGGGTTCGAGCCCCGGATGCGTGTGGGAAAGACAAATCGCTTGTTTAATCACAGATTTGACCTGGAACCAAGAGGTCACGGCATCCTTGACTCGCCACGTTGAAAGGTAACCGAAAGAAATTTCTCAAGCGGGCGTTTTTTTCTTTTTTGGACTAAACATCATTTATGTATGTTCTTTTTTGTGGATAAGTAAATCCCTCTCCCCCCCTTGAATACGTGGAGGGAGAGATAAACGACCCCCCTGAAGATAGCGGTGCTGGAGGTAAAGTGATATCCGTCTATCTTACGCCTCCACAGTTATCTGTTAACCCCTATCCTGACTGAAAGAAAAACGATAACATAGCCATACGCACAAAAATATCATTGACTCAAGTCTTTTTGTTTAACTCCAACATGAACCTACGAATCAAATGATAATAGAACACATTATCTTTATCGAACAAATCCACAAGGGCCGTGACGAGGATTCGAACCTACGTTCGAAAGCCTCCCAGACGCTACCTTAATCGACTGAGCTACGACAGGGTATGAAAATTATCTTTATACATTATACATTATCTTTATTAACCAATCATTTACATTATGCTTCCATAAACACATTTACAGTCACATGTAATTCCATCACATATATCAAGCTTTTCCGAAGCATTTACGTCATTCTTGATTTCTAACAATTGGAGTGACAGTATTGCAAATGCAGAGATAACTTGACAAAATTACTTAAAACTACAAAATAATTTTTTTTTAAGACTGAAGAACTATTTAGTTATATGGATAACACTAGCCACAACAGACTTAGCTGATCAAAACTTACCATAGTAAGACTATGAGAACTATTTGTTATCTAATAACTAGCAGTTTACTAATAATGAATAGTTAACCATAATAACTAGTTCACGTACAATAACTAAACCAAGATATGCTTTTATATATATATATATATATATATATATATATATATATATATATATATATATATATATATATATATATATATATATATATTTTGTCGAAGAAATGCTAAGTACACTAGCGATCTTGACTCACCCAGAAATATTAGTTAATCAGGATTTGCTAACAAATCCTGAACTGTGAATTAAGCCTAAAGTGACTGTATTCCTGAACTGATAATTAAACCTAATCTTACATTGCCCCAGAACTGACAGTAACCCGGAACTGATTGTAACTCCAAAAATGACAACCCAGAACTGCTCGACTCCAGAAGAATATTAACACAGAATGATGTTAACTACAAATCCTTCTTAATCTTACCATCTGATACTCTGACGACACACCACTAATTCTCCCCTGGCTTGATGCCTTTTGATAATCACTTGAGTTGTTTTTGCTCCTCCATTGTAGTAATTCCTAGAGATAGAACCACGTGGAGTCTATGCCTAAAGGAGTTGAACAGACAAACACATGGCTACATATACATTCACAGACGTAGACATAATAGAGAAAAAAATAAATTGCCTAGAAAGGCGGGGTCTGAGAGCTAATAGCTCGACTATACAGCTTTATACATATACTAAATACATACGCATTTTAAAATGGCGAACGAATCTTGTTTTTTTTTAATTTCTTGTGTTCTTGACTTCAATTGGAAGATAAACAAATTATATATTAACTCCAAATTTCATTTTATAGTTTTGAAGGTTCGTTTGATATGACGTGATTATGGAGAGAGAGAGTTTGAAGCAATGTTCCTGAACTCTTACGGTCTTGTGTACAATCAAGTACTCGAGATGTACGTGTTTGTACACGAGATGAACTTGATTGTACACGAGATGAACTTGATTGTACACGAGATGAACTTGATTGTACACGAGATGAACTTGATTGTACACGAGATGAACTTGATTGTACACGAGATGAACTGGATTGTACACGAGATGAACTTGATTGTACACGAGATGAACTTGATTGTACCCGAGATGAACTTGATTGTACACGAGATGAACTTGATTGTACACGAGATGAACTTGATTGTACACGAGATAAACTTGATTGTACACGAGATAAACTTGATTGTACACGAGATGAACTTGATTGTACACGAGATGAACTTGATTGTACCCGAGATGAACTTGATTGTACACGAGATGAAGTTGATTGTACCCGAGATGAACTTGATTGTACACGAGATGAAGTTGATTGTACACGAGATGAACTTGATTGTACACGAGATGAACTTGATTGTACCCGAGATGAACTTGATTGTACACGAGATGAACTTGTTTGTACACGAGATGAACTTGATTGTACACGAGATGAACTTGATTGTACACGAGATGAACTTGATTGTACCCGAGATGAACTTGATTGTACACGAGATAAACTTGATTGTACACGAGATGAACTTGATTGTACACGAGATGAACTTGATTGTACACGAGATGAACTTGATTGTTCCCGAGATGAACTGGATTGTACACGAGATGAACTTGATTGTACACGAGATGAACTTGATTGTACACGAGATGTACTTATTTGTCTTGGAATCAAATGGTTGACAGGTAAATTGACTGTGTTCAATTCAAGAAGCTTCAATTGACGAGGTGAAGAAATCAAAGTTCAATTGTTCAAACGTAGGCAAGGGTACGACACTAGGGGGGATGGGGGGGGGGAGGAGGGGTTGTAGTCCCATGGGCCCGAGTCCGATTTATTGTCGTGGTAGAAACAAAAGGACATAGTTTCTTTCACATGATTCACCTGTTCACCTAGCAATAAATAGGTACCAGGGAGTTAGACAGCTGTCATGAGCCGAGTTCTGCGGATGTGTCAGGGAGAAATATATGTGGTAGAGGAGAATAGGTCAGGAGTCAGTACATACACACAAGGCGGGGTCCAAGAGCTAACATCTCTATCCTGCAGGCAAAAATAGTAAATACACATATGACTCAACCAGACAGGTGTATGTATGTATGTATGTATGTATGTATGTATGTATGTATGTATGTATGTATGTATGTATGTATGTATGTATGCATGTATGTATGTGTATGTACTATTTGTGTCTGCAGGATCGAGCTATTAGCTCTTGGACCCCGATTTCTAACCAATCTAATTTTCCTCTATTAGATCTACTACATATCCTGCTAGGTGAACAGGTGCATCAGGGGTGAAAGAAACTTTGCCCATTGGTTTCCGCCTCCGCCGGGAATAAAATCCGGGACCATTAGACTACGACTCCCGAGCGCTCTCCACTCAGCCGCGAGGCCCCTGTGTGTTTGAGAGAGAGAGAGAGAGAGAGAGAGAGAGAGAGAGAGAGAGAGAGAGAGAGAGAGAGAGAGAGAGAGAGAGAGAGAGAGAGAGAGAGAGAGAGAGAAAAGAGTTACTCTCTCCACATTTATCTATTGGCATATCTCTTCATCTTTATCACTCATTTTCTTATCACGTTATTATCCCTCTGTATCACCACTTCTCATCCTCTCCTTCCTGTTCGTCAACATTCTATCTGCCTCTCTCCCTTCAGCTGGACAAGCTTAAACACGCACACGCACGGGCTCGAACGCCCGCACGATGTCCGAATTCAGACGTAACACACGAAATCCCATAATTGATTAAGGCATGTGTTCACGGGCCGGCTACATCTGGGTCTTATATCACTCTCTGTGATTTATCCGGCTCCAACTGACAGCTGGCCAGTGCACCAGATGCTGCTGTGAGAGAGAGAGAGAGAGAGAGAGAGAGAGAGAAAGAGTTATCGCAGAGGTGCCAAATTTAACGCATGAGTTTTGTTTAATAAAACAACTATCAGAATGTGTGTATATCGAACGACCAATGGGAAGAAGGCAGACGTGCATCTCTCCTACACATGGACAACCAGCAACCTGTAATTAGTCTCGAGGGGCTATTGGCTATCGAGCAAAATACATCTAAAGAGTTGTTAGCCGGGGTCCTGAAATATGCTGGAGGTAATTTACAGGCCCTCGCAAAGAAGGTTGTGAGCCGCTGGAACCGTAGCTCACTGGTAGGGTTTTTGTCGCGTCGCTTGGGGACTGGTTCTTCCTCCTGCTGCAGGTGGACTGGTTCTTCGTGGCGTCAGGTGAAAGGCCCCACCCCAGGTGACTTGAGTCCTCCTCTTTCTGCTCGGAGAGCAACTGGCCCCGCCTTCCTTCTGGTCAGTGGTTCTATCTCCAAGGACATGGGTTTAGGGAACTAGGTGGTGGTTCTTCAATATTCTATGGGGCTCTCTTATCAGTTTTTTTTCTGCCAATAGGTAGGTAGGTGAGTTGGTATAATAGGTGACAGGTGTTGGGCGTACTTGGGGTAGGTGGTAGTGCCCGCCCACTTGGTAGCTGGCTACCCCTCCTCTCTGTTCTTCAGTCAGGCCCCGCCCTCTAGGTGGCTGACTCCCAATCCTCTCTATCTCTCCCTCTTTCTATCTGTCTCCCTCTCTCTCTTTCTCCTTCCCTCACTCCAGCCGTGACAAGCCCCGCCCTCTAGGTGGTTGGGTTCCTCCACATTCATCAGGTGACTGGCTTATTCCCTCCCTCTCTCTCTCCCTCTCTTTCTCCCTCTCTCCTTTCTCCCTCCCAATCTCCATTCAGGTGAATCGCTCATTCACTTAACAATATTTAATGACTCCCTTTTGGGGCGCATACCTTGGCTTGAGACACATATTTGTATGCGTATCCGGGCTCAGTGACACAGAGAAAGTTGGACACATGTGTCTATAAGAGCAGAGGGAGCGGGGCTCGAACCCGGAGACCAGAACAGGAATTAAGACGAGCTCACATTCCTGCTTTGTCTCACTAATTAATACATTGTTCCTTTAGCTGACATGCCA